TAGTCATTATTGAATCATTTAACTGTTCTACAAGTTGATTTGATTGGCCCTAATCTGTGATGAAGTTTAGAATACTTCACTACTTCTTGTTAGCAAATAATCTGTGTTAAATTTTCTCATTTCTATGGGCTATTTTGATGATCTTGAAGAACATGCATTCACATTTCGGAGGCAGATATCACTCTGTACCTGCATATTTTGTTCCTGCGTTATATTCTAATCTTGTATTTCTTATGTCACAAATCATTTGAATAGTTATTAGTTATGATAAGATAACGTCTTCATAAACTTATTTATTATATTATTTCATTTATTGTATTCCTCTGAGTTCCCAATAGAACATAGGGTTTCAAGACTGAAGTTTGAAGTTTTAGTATCAGTGATGTCTATTTTCTTCATTGGGTAGGGCTGCTAACCTTACACCCAACTTTTCCTCTTTACCAGGCTTACTACCAGGTATGCGAATTTTAAGAGTAAGTTTGCAGAGGATCGAACCTTGGACAGAGTGATTAGTTGGCGAGCGTTCTACCACTGAACCGCCGAAGCACAATTTCATAAATTTAAAGCTTTATCTACTTCATTCACACTGATGAATGCTTAAACATCACATTGAGGGGTGTTTTTTTTATTGCTGGACTTTGAAGACTCCAACCTGAATGCTTGTATATGAGAATATAGATGAACTCCAGGGTCTTAGGGTATTACAAAAAGTTACTGTTATTTTTTAATATTGCCAGCAACATTTCCTCAGTCTTTATATACGAATATAACTTGGAAACTGTGGTATAGCATAATTGCATCATAAAATAATTTTATTTAATTGAAGCACACACCATGATACAGTATTATTCACTGATGTTTTGGACCGACGTGAAGAATCTAGAAGACCTGGATTTCGCGGATGATTTATGTTTGATGTCACACAAAATCGAAGACTTACAGGCGAAAACCGAAAAACTGGTCAAAGAGGCTTGCAGCAAAGACAGGGCTGCAGGTGAACATAGAAAAGACGGAGGTTATGAAAACAACCAACCAACAACAACAACAGTAGCAACATCCACCGCCAATCACCATCAACAGGAGGGATTTGAAAGAGGTTACTTCATTCACTTATCTAGGGAGCATTGTCTCAACTACAGGTGGAACGGACGAGGATATAAAATCGAGAATCGGGAAGGCGAGAAACACATTCATCAACCTGAAACCAATCTGGAAATCTTCGTCACTCAATTCAGCATCAACAACGAAATTCGGATTTTCAATACAAACGTCAAGTCAGTCACTTCTTCTATACGGATCAGAAACTTGGCCAGTGTGTCACAAAGAATATTTCCAACAGATTACAGACCTTTATCAACAACTGTCTTCGCTCTATACTATTGAGGATCAGATGGCCGGAAAGAATCACAAACAAGAAACTATGGGAACAAATAAAACAAGAACCAATCGCCCAACATATATGCAGGAGAAAGTGGAGATGGATTAGACACTCGTTGAGGAGGCCACTGGGTGAAATCGCGAGTCAGGCCATAGCTCGAGTGGAACCCGAAAGGTAAGCGGCGAGTGGGACGTCAGTGCCAGGGTGACATGGAGGAGATCGTGTGAAGAGAAGCTGAAACAGTATGGACTAACATGGATGCAGGTAGAAAGTACAGCAGAAGACAGTAGCAAGTGGAGGCGTGCAGTTGAATCCCTATGTTCCACTAGGAACTCAAGGGAATAATAATAACATAATAATAATAATTTTGACTTGATAAACACAGATTCTAAAAGTGACTTCCCTTCCATCTATCTATTTCATGTTTTAGAACTGTAGGTCTATCCTGGTCCCCTGTATGCTGGGGTAAATGCAAGCATGCATGCGTGCAAGCAGACAAGCATTGCGCTGACTAAGTTTCCCTTCTAGTTACTCATCTTTCTGGAGTCAGAAATCCTATACTTAGCTGAATTCCTATATTCCCATAACTTTACTAACCCTGATCTACTGAACTGACGTTGACATGATTATTCTGAGAACGTCATCAGTAAATAAGAATGTACCGCTGTGTGACCTTGTGAAATAAAATTATTCTCTGATGGAATTTCCTCAGTCTTCTTCATCAAACAGAATACACAGACAATGAAATAAACTGACTAACAATCAAAATAACAGTGATAATAATAACAATAATGACAAACTACACAAGGAAAGTTCATAGTTCTAATTATTTCAGTAACTGAAAATACACAATATCAAAGTAACTCAATGAATTAGGGTCATATAATGATGAAATTATATCACATGAATTCCATACCAAAAATTCGAAAAATATAAAGACAAAATGAAACGAAATTGCGCAATGTGTACAACAATGACTGACTTAATGTTTGACTTATAGATAGCAAAATTCTTAGACATTAAAATTGCGTAATCAAGTTATCTTTATTATTGCTACAAAGAAATACCGGTATGTAAAAAAGTAGATGTATAAAGTGTGTACTAGACGACTGGATAATGAAGTGAAGTGAAGTTTTTAAACGTATATACAAACACGTGCTTATGAGTACAAATCCACTCTATTCGAGAATGAAATCACTTTGCCTTCTTTAGATTCTAGATTATATAACAATTTTCGTATAAATAAATTAGTCTGTTATGTATACATGATTATGCTTCTTCGGCGAATAAATGTACTCTAAGGTACGATAATAATAACAACACAAAAAGGGTAAGAGACTGTTCACTATGTTATGCTTTATGACACTACAAATATGTTCACATACTCAAAGAAGTACAAAACACTAGTAATATGTAATCTTTGACAGTTCTACAATGAAGATAGAGTTGTTATTATCTTAAGACCTTTCATATATGTAAGTGTATAGACTCACAAAACTACCTTTGTTCTTGGTAAAGAGCATTTGAACTGAAAGTTTCCCTCAGATGGAGGATTTTTATAGTTATGGACGTATATGTATACATAATACCTTTTTGGTGATAAATCAGAACTTTACTGCAGTCTTCCTATACTGCTATATATGAAATCTAACCGAGTATTGTCAGGCTTGAGTGGAACCCGAAAGGGAAGCGGCGAGTTGGTCGTCAGTGCAAGGGTGACTTGGAGGAGGTCATGTGAAGAGGAGATGAAAACGTGTGGGCAGACTTGGAGCCAGGTGAAGACTCTAGCAGAAAACAGAACGCAATGGAGACGCACGGCTGAAGCCCTATGTTCCTCTAGGAATTAAAGGATACAATAATAATAATAATAATATAATGTCAGGCTATATGACGCGCATACTGATCACAATACAACAGTCTTAACTTCTTCTAGTCTGTGGTATAGCGCTACAAATGATGGTCTATTAAACGTGTTATTAGAATAGGAGAAAGCCTGTCTTTCACAGGCTACAACTGGTGAAGAGACAGTTAACTCTGGGTGGAGGGGGTATTAATTTGGTGGGGACATAAGTAATTTTGGGGTATATTTCATCACACTTTATTTCAGTTCACAGAAATTAGATTTTATATGTGGAACAGTATTGTAAAACTATTTCTAACTGAGGCACACAAGTCGATTGAGATTTCTACGGTGTTAGTTGTATGTTGAAAGAAAGTGCTGTTTATTGTGTAGTTCACATCAGTGGTATTTAGGTTTGGGTTGTTTCGCAGGATTGTTTGCTTTTCTTCTACATTTAGTTTCTATTCACATGTGAAGCCCTAAAGATACTTCTCAATAGATAACCTCGATACCAATAGTAACAGGTGACCAGGCTGAAGTAGGTATAGCAGGATTCGAAATCAGGACCTACTGACTGAATGTCGAGTAATAGATGGTTGGAGGCAATCGGCAGGAAGCCTTGCTTCACCTAGGGTTCGTGCTAGTTGGCACTCATCAGCAAGGTGTATCTGCAACCTTCAAGGAACTGATGTCCCTTCTGAGATTCGAACCCGCGTCACCCAGTGCTGCAGTCAGATACGTTACCACTGAGCTATTCAGGCTTGCGATTGACCTCCTGTAGGACTGTATTGGGTATTTTTGATTGCACACTAGTCAGTAAGTAGTGTAATGCGTCTAGTCCTATCTTCGCTACAGACTGAATTCTATCAGTCAAGCTTGCAATGTCGAGTGTTTAAAACCAAAAGAGCTTGTCTTCTTATGGTCAATGTTGTTGCAAATACTTTGTGTTATAGTGTGATGATGTAGGTTGCAGTGAAAATTTAAATGGCACAGGGGTTGTTAAATTAGCAGCCTTCAATTCCTAACGATGACCACGACTTATAAGTGGAAATTTATTACCATCAGCTTACAAGAAGAACCTATACTTTCCAGGGAAATCTAAGCAGTAGATGTTCACTAACTGAGGGAGATTATTTTAGTACTCTGTATTAAAGCTGTCAACATTTTATGCATTGATTTTACATAGGGGATACAAATAAATCATGTGGTATTTGTCTAAAAAATCATAGTGACTACTGATGAGGATATGTTATTCTAGTGTTTATAAGATTTTCACAAAAAGTGAAAGTCATTTCGGTACAGAAAAATGAGACAGTCTGTACACACATTAAGTGAGATGAGATCCAAAGGGAATAACTGACTCAAGGATCTACTGTGGCACTGTTGTGCCTTAGGCTGTCCCGCTGTCATATGATTTAAAACTGAAGTCAAACGCACAGATAGTGCTTATCTGAGGCGACTTTCGTCTTACATCATACCCTGTGTGACGATTCACTTTAATATTGAGAATAACTGAAGTTATTCAGGGTAACGTAAGGAAATCCATTGTTTAACATCTATGGTGAGGTAATTCGCTAGTGTCAAGCACACGATTTCATTTTATCATGGTCATGACTAGCGAAAATCAGTTAAACTTTCGGCACACAAACAGTAAATAAGTCTAATAGATGGACAGTTTATTTCAGTCGAATGGGTGAAGCATTACTGCAAAAGTAAGAACATTTTGTTCAATGTCAACATTATTAAATACATCGATTGACTTTACAACAAAGAGAAACTTACATTCTGTATTTCTACAATAGCACCGGTTTCTTCAATAGTCACTGGTGTAACTGTTTCCGTTTCTCTAGTGCTTTCACTGCTATTGTTAACATTGTTTACATCGGTTGTCTGACTGAGAACTGGATTCACAATTAAACTATCTTTATTCTCCAATGTATTACTGTGAAATAACATTGGTCCAGCGATCACTGAATTCCATAATACTATAAAATATAAAAACTTCATAAGTAGTAGTTCTGTCCTGTGTATACAATGGATTGTATGTTTCAATGAATGATGAATAGATTTATGATAATTAGGAGACATGATATATATAATCGTTTTGAAATTTCAAAATGTTTAATTCAATATTCAGCGGTAATTATAACGTGAATAATAATGTGGGAATAATTTTAATTTCCGAATTTTTTTCAAAATGTTTATCGCCAAATTTCTAGAGAATGTAACATCTGATTATTTTAATATTATCTAGGCTAGTGAGTATTTCCTTTAAATAGTAATAATAATAACAACAGCTGTTGTATACAATGAATGACTTATTTGGAAATGACCAATAAACGATACTAGTCAGACAATTCTGATTGGCTGATTGAAACCATTTGTCATCACTATTACTATATATTCTGACCAATCAGGTTTGAGTAACTAATTTACACGTTTTAAATTGCATAGAAATAAAGTATTAACAAATTTATTCACAGTAATTTCTTATAAATTTGAGATTTTCTGATCATTCATGGGTAGTAAATTTGTAAAGAATGGAAGGATATGTGGAAATGTTTACTTTCCTAAGGCTGAATTTTGAAAATATTCAGGAAATTCGACCAAAACGGTAAAAAATAACTTCAGAATAAACAAAGCAGAAAATTTTAGATAAAAGAAGTTACTCTTTCAGACAGTCTCGTACACCATTTTTACAGTTGATAGTTAACGCAAATTTCCTTAAATTTTTAAAGCTATTTCTGTTTATATTTTGAAGCCTGATCCCAACATGCAAAATAAGTATGTCCAATAATTAGGTTTATGTGTGCATGGACTTATGAATCTAATTGGTTTTTTGTCCGTTACATTAATAACATATTAGGCTACCATAAATTGTCGCTGGACCGCCTTTGGTTATTTCTGAAAAAAATTATGATATCTTCCACGTAACTCTTTTTTGAGAACTACATCTTTAATTGTCACATAAACTGATAAATGCGTTGTTTAAACACGTAATGATCGCTTACACTTGTTGTAAATGAATGTGAACATTGAACGTTGGTTCATTTGACCTTCAGTCGCCATTGACGGGCAACTCGAAGGCGCGAATGATTCAATCGTGTACAAGTTGGAAGAAGATGAAAGAATACGAATAAAAGTACAATACATTCCTTGTAAAACATTTGTTTACAGACTTTGCATCAATGTCGATTTTAATTTTATTTTTTAATTTTATTTTTTAAAATTTTATTATAGCTTGATTCCACACAGTATTTTGGTACAAGTATAAAATTTTCAGCATGTGATTTCGGGAGTCCAAATTTAGCAGGCCGACCATAGATATCAGGTGTGCGTCGGCGGGGGATCGAACCCCGGACCATGTACATGGTCGGCGAGAGTCCTAACCGCTGTGCCATCGAAAGATAAAATTATTTCAAGTACTAGTGTTTTGGAGTTAAAGTCGATAATCGGTCATAGTAATTATCGATTCAGAGCGTCCCCGCAAATAATAGGAACTTAGGGTTAAGTCCCTTGACACTTGTCATATTTAGTTTAAAACAATACCCATTGAAACATTGAGACAAGTACTGCATTTCGGAGACTAATTCAGATGCCTGAAATCTATCTAAAGGAAAGTAATGTAGGAGTGGTCCTATGATGCCTGAGTGTAAAAGTCAGAACGTTTGAACATTTATTCATATTTTCCATTTCCCATTCGTATTTTTGGACAAAACTAATTAGTCTCATTTTCGTATATTCTCCTTCTTAAGCGCATGCCTGAAAGTTCATATTATTACTTACTGTCCAACATTATTTCTACTTCAATAACAGTTTGGTGAATATTGATACGTCATGTACAGTAATGGTAATATTTGCTTCCTATCACTTAGTGATGTATTGGACTCATTCATCTTGGTGAATCAACTAGTACGTCGGTAGCACAGTGGTTAGGACTCTAGCCAACCATGCACATGGTCCGGGGCTCGATCCCCTGCCGACACACACCTGATATTAATTGGTCGTCCTGCAAAATTTGGGCTACCGATATCACATGCTCAAAATTCCATACTTGTACCAAAAATACGGTTTGGAATCAAGCTGTAATCGAAATAAAAATAATAGTAGGTTTTAACAGTATTTGTCCGATAGCAAGCAGTCTTCTAAAAAAGGTAAGCGTTTCATTTACGACTTATTACTCCAGTGGTAAAGCGCCTTCATTTTCCCGTTATTATAATCGCCATTATTATTATTGCTAATACTACTGTGGTGGTGTGATACAGACAGTGTTTACTAGCGCAATGTTATTCTCACATGTTTCCACAGTTCATTTCGGCATTGGTAACAGAGTACTATGTATATTTGAACATTTCATTTCATGTCATTTGATTTAAACCGAAATCACACATTGAATGATTGGTTAAGGAATATAAACTGTAGATATATGAACAGCGGTTTGATTAATGAAAAATATACATTGGCTTCCGTGTCTTGCCTTCTATTGTTACTTCTACTACTACTACTACTACTACTAATAATAATAATACCAATAATGGTAGCGGCAGAAAGAGTAATAGTGAAGTTATTATTAATAATAATACTAAAGCTTTATTTAAGACAATATGTGAACATATATTACAGAAATTTTCAGTGGATTTACTTCCAAAATATCTCCTCTTCATACAGAATTTACACGTGAAGGAATTTTCTGAAGTACACTATTTGTCATAGTGTTTTTTTAATAATCATTATAATAGTAATTTGCTTTATTCCCAAACAGTACTTGTGATACAGAATGGAATTCTCAGCAGTTTTACTACAGTATTGCATCCAGTTAGTACATTATCAATAAATAGAATTCTACATAGATTAAGGAAATCTCAGTTCATTATGACAACAACATATTGGCATGTCGGTAGCAAAGCCAAAGTTGAACAGTGTTTGAAGGTGCTAGAAAAGTAGGTGCTATCATATTTACTGGCGTAAGCGAGAGAAAGAAACAAAGCAGCACATAACGGAAAGAGAGAGAGAGAAAAAAGGAAAAGAAAGAAAGAAAATGTTGTACCAATAAATGATATGAGTTGGAAAGACGAGGTCCAGTTGTTCTACTGACTATTTAATGAATTATAGGTGTCACGCCTGATGCTTTCTTTGTTGCATTCCTTCAATAACTGCATACAGTTAAGTGGGAAACTAATTAAATGTTCTTAGTTCTAGTGTGGAAGTTACTTGGAGTTCTAGTGAGAAGAAGTGACCATTAGAGTTCACTAAGTTAGATGAGAGGACTGTTAATCACCGATGACATTGACTAGTGGTTGTACTAAGTATATCACAAGTTAGCAAAAGTTGAAATTCATGAACCAGTGGATCTAGCCTTACTGGCTGAATAGTCTACAAGATCCTTCTGACTGGAAGGTCTTGCATCCGAAACCTGGTGGGTGAGGACTGACGAAGAGTTCCAAACTGGGATGGAACAGCTATCCATTATTTCCTGGTTTTCAAATAGTTCTCTTACTTATATCACTTCCTACTCAAACCTGTGATCAAATAATAATCATCGTGCTCTGCCTTATGTCAAATATTGCAGAGCTGGGTAAATTAACACTATAACTCAAATGGGACATTATATTTTTACCCTTATTTTGTGAGAAACAATTAAATAAAACACTCGATTTAGACACTTCCTTACAAGAGTTACAATTTAAAACAATAAGTTCCTTTTGAAAGATAAAGCTGGTCAGAAAATTATGATGTATCTGCTCAATACAGTTCATACCATGTCATAACTCATCTACTTGTTAGTTTAATTCACATGAAAATGAAGAGATGACGGGTCATTTAAAAGAAATAAAATGATAGGGGATTTAGTTGTAAGTAGGGTGATAATGAATGCTATTTGTAATGATATAACTAGATAAGGACTACCTGAATATATTAAATGTAACAATGAATTGCTTTTACACACACCTTGGGGGCTTTAAAGTTGAGAATGTATATGGCCTCAGCGTATTTTAGTACACACTTCTGACCGTTTTTGCTTAGGATTTTCAAAAATGTTAGCATGATATTAAAACGATAAGCTTTAGTATGGACGAGGCTGGCTGTCTACTATCTGTGTTCATCGCGTTCAGTTATTTTTCAATCCGTTTTTGTACAATTTCCCCCACCAAAATGTACTTTGACATTATTCAGGGTTTTGTCCAGTTACATAATATTTTTCAAATAAACTTCGTCTTTTGATTACACTATCCAAAAAAATATAGTATTGGGGAAAGTGTGAACTTATTTCGCAATTCAAAAGTTATCCAGTATACCTCTGTATTGATAAAACTTTTCAGTTAAGTTAACTGATACAATTTTATATTTACATGTACAGATTTTGTAATATTAATAAACGTCTTCTCTATGTTCACAAATATTCAAACCCTTTCTTCAAATAAAATAAAGTCTGTTGTCAGCCGATTGTTACACCGAATCATTTGCATACTGTGAAATTTAAACGAGTTTAAGCATTGGTTTTTAGGGATTTGATTGGTTTCAGGATTTCATGATGAACTGACATCAGTAAGAGGACCATTAGAAAACCTGGGAGTACTGGACAGCTGTTTCGTCCTAGTTTGCAACTAATTGGCATTACGCACCCACTGCTAAGGTTGAAACGAAGGACCTTCAGGTTACAAGGCGAGCATGTAGACTGTTCAGCCACTACCACCCAACTCAATGACCAAAGAATTGCAACTTTTACCAGTTCGAGATTTTTAGCGCAACCACCAGCCAATGTTATCAGCGAGTATTTCTCCTAACTTCTGATGAAATCCGGAAACCAATCAAATCCCTTCAAGCCAACACTTGAATATCAGCCTTATGCTCAATAGTGACTAGCCGTATTCAGGTAGGTAGTTATCTGTGTCCGAGGGGGAGTCGTGACCGGTGGGGTACAACAGATCGCAGATGACAACCACTAGTGGTCATGCCGCACCATGAATTGGCAGAAGTTGGAATTCATGGACTGACCATAGGACCGGGTCCCAGCAGCTTGATGGTCTACTAGCTCGCCTTATAAGACGAAGGTCATGGGTGCGTACTGTGAAGAGTCTCGAGCTAGGACGAAACAGTTGACTGATTAGTACACCTTGGTTTTCCAGTGGTTCTCTAACCAATGTCAGCTAATAGTGAAATCCCAAATGAGTTCGGTTGGTTTACAGAATAGAAACTGACTTAACTTCTACTAATGATATAACAAAGAGTTGCATTTAAATCCATTAGAATTTGTGAATAACTCATTAGTGAAAGATCAAAAATTTGTTCACTGTGTCCGAATGCATTTAATTAAGCTGAG